AGTTCTCCCTTCTTCAATCTAGATTTATACCCGACAAGTCGAGCGGGGGCGGGGCAAGACCGTCGCGATGGCTAAACTCCGTTATGAGAACGGAAAGTCCTCCATAACCTTCCCCTCGAGGAATTTGGCTTCTTGAGCTAAGCTCAATGAGCTTCTTTACGATTCGACTTTCGAATCATTTTAATTTCGAATTCATGGCCTCCGCGGCGAGACTGATTGACACGCTTTCAATCCATAATTGCGATTGGTCACACTGAATGGCTGGTCGGTTCATCGCGTCGCGGACGGACTCACTCTTTTCGAGTCTTCAACAGCTGTCAAGTCCTACGAGAGGTCGCACAGTGGAACTCCCACTTTACCACACGAACTCATGTGTTCATCTTCCTACTAATGGTGAATCTTCGCCTAGTCGACTTCGACAACTTGGGAACAGAGTATGAAATGTTTGGGAAAGAAACCTGTCGGAGCCCGCGTCAATCTGTCCCCGAGTCTCGGGGCGCCAGCCTCGGGGCCCGAGGGGGTTCTGTTCCTTCATGGAAATTAGATTCTCGCAAAAGGCTGTGGCCTCTTTGGAGCTTGTAACACATTTTAGCGTGTAAAAACGGAGCTCTTCCGAAAAGAATCCCAGAATACTCCGAGAAGGATTCTCAAACCTCAAAAAGTTGATGGTTTCAAGAGACGGTTTGGGTGAGATTTGGTGGTCCCATGCATGAAGATCTCAAAAATGTTTCCTTAAGGGATTTTTAAAATAGGCTCCCGAGAGAGGCTTCTTCTTCGTAGCACCCGACGAAGGTTGAGGAGAAGCTCGCTGTCGTTGTAGGTTCCACAACCTTGGATATTGCTTACTCGGTGTCTGGCTCCATAGCGTCGGTGCTCATAAGATTTCGGCGATCGAGTTGATACCGGGCAGACCAATGCACTTCGAGGACACAGTCTTCACGTTTTTCGGACGACATGTAAGATACACTTGCTGTTGCTGCCCCCTGGATACCTAGGTACTCGAGTCACAACATACGTCCTTTTTTTCTCAGTCCTTGACGGTGTACCTGGGACACATGTTACCCGGTTTGTTCATACTCGGACTTTTTGTCTACTCGAAATGGTGGTAACTTTTCGGCTGGTCTTGGCTGAGCGTTTGCAGCGAAGGCAGATGAAAGTTTCATCTGCCTTCGATGGTTTCATCATGAAACCATCGACAGAGCCGACAGGAGAACTTCACCATACATAAACCATTACTTTCCCAAGTCAGATCGCTGGAGTGGAGATACGTGATGCCCTCTACGACAGAGGCACTGCCAAGCCTTGGTCAACAACGGTCGAGTCATCATATGGAGTATTGTTATCCGTCGAACTATAAGACTGGCCATTTCCACTGTTAAGCAGTGGCTGCTTTGCTCGATGCTTACACGTGCGGTTTCGAGAGAAGATTTGAACATGTTCACTGCTGCTGTATACACTCCACCAGCTTCCTCTCTGAGGGACTCTCACTATTGTACTGTATTTGTCTCGTTATTTTACTCTACCCTAGTGGAACCACCCACAATCTAAAAGCTACTTTTCAAACTGAGTATAGGTTCACAGGATCTGTGTCATTGAGTAATCCAACTTGATATACTGCGGGGGTGGTACCGTTCATTTCGTCGAGACAGTTCGTTTTCAAGATGAGCGCCACCGGTAACAGTCCTGAAGGGCCCGTCTCAGATCTCAAAGTCTTATTAATCGCGAGCTGCACCATGTTTGCAAGCCTGAGTCTGGTGCATTGGTTGTCCATAGCCGAGCGAGCGCAGTACAAACGTGTGTGGTTTGAATATGAAAAGGTGGGCTCATCGAGCTAGATCTGTCTGTAGTGAGATTAGTGTTCTTCTTTCGGCAGTCGACGGTGTATTGAATTCGCGTTCAGATCTCTGAATCGGACGATAAAGCCATGGAAATGGGCGCTATTGGAGGAGACGAGTCGAAGATACAGCATGGCCCCAAGCCACGTGCTCCGTTACTGGACTTTTTGCGTGGTCTCTGTCTGGCATTCATCGTCTCTTTTCACTTCATGTGGGACCTCCAAGAGTTCGACATGTTACCTCATCCTCCCCCGGCCCACAAGGTCGATGGACTCCCAATAAAGAATTATATACTCTTCATTGTCTACTTTGTCATCTCCATCACCTCTTGTCTCACTGCCGCCCTTTACACTCCCTATTTGGGTTATGCATTGTAAGCTTGTGACACTATCCATGACTGCCTGATAAGAGTCCTACTCGATCAGGTATGCTCCGATAGTGACGTATTGCATCTATAGCATGTGGTGGGAGTCCCAAATTTCGGGTGTTTGCTTGATAATGACGTGCTTGGGAATGTCTCAAGCATTGGTCCATAGGAATGGTACCATCTGGCGAGAAGTCGTCATCAGAGCTGCCAAATTGAGCCTCCTCGCAGCTCTCATTTCTGCTTTATCGTAATAGTTACGTGCTAGACAGTCTAGCTTAGATTACACACAACACTTTTATAGTTTCACTTGGATCGATTTTACAGGTTATGGTTCGATCCAGAGCAGTGGATTTACTTCGGTGCCGTACACTGCATCTGTTTCAACAGTTTACTGACGGTCCCATTCGTCAGAGTGAGTCTTTCACCCGCCAAGTTGAATTATTCAACAGTCTTCACGTCAGAGGCCGAAGACGGCTCTTGCTGGATTCTTATTCATACAGACGTACACCATGGCCTTTGGTGCTTGCCCGATTGAGGTCCCGCTTGAGTTACCCACTCTAGATGTCATGCCTTGGTGAGATGGTACCCCGTCTTCCCGACGGGTCATGCTTTATCTACGGGGAATCCCCGTAGAATCTACGGCGTAGATGAAGCAACCCGTCCGATTCGAGCTTTCCTCTGGATGTGCCGAGCACTTCTCTGCAGGTTCCACAACTTTGGCTATTGCCTATTGGGCGTGTGGCTGTATAGCAAGGGTGTTCATAAGCTGAGTTCGTGCAGTATCATACCAAATACTCGTGTATATTTTGAAGACACCGTTATGACTACATTCGGTCGTCATGTGAGTCTTCTGTTCGACCAGATGAGACCTTAACCTACACCATCGTTCCTTTCAGTCCCTTTTAATATACTTGGCCCATCAAGGTGTATTATTCCCACTCGTGTATGGGGTCTCTCTGCTCAGTTGATCTCGCATTCTCTTCACTCAGCGGCTATACGGCATACCTGGAAGTATCTGATTGGTTGGTGTTGTCAGTGCGGGTCGGGCTTCCGGCCCGGAAGTTCCGGGTTTCGGGTTTTCTAAATGATCGGCAGTGCTCCCTTTCTCGTCAACCAAGTCGGGCGGTCTGTTGTCGCTTCGGCAACTCCCGAAATTGCTCGGTGGGTACCTGGCAGACATTCGCTTCTTCAGCATTTTAACGCGAAGGCCTTCCTGCGAGGTTCTCGCAGGAAGTGATTAGCGAGCTCTTTCAATAAGGGTCCTTGAAGCTCAGGAAGTTAATGGTTTAACTTTCCTTGGACTTCTCTGAGGAGAACTTTGAAAGCGGTTTAGACAAAATTTGGCGAGCTCATGCGTAAAAGGCTCAAGAATGCTTCTTTGGAAAGATTTTTGAAATACGCCCACAGGTATTTCCAACCCCCTCCCCCCTGCTTCGCCCTGATAGAGGTCCCCAGAGATAGAGGCAGCCTTCCAATCCAATTGAACATCTTTAGAGCTGATGCTGTGGGCACGAACTCCCCAATTGACCCTCCTAGTTCCCTGACTACACTTTCATACAGGGTACTGCAGCAGCACTGCTACTCAGCAGATTTCCCCACCCTCTCCCGGACCACCTCGGGACCTATGGGTACGATCAATGTTCCCGCTAAGCCAATTTTCCCGTTTCCGCACGGGAATTCGAGCACTTTCTGGGAGAGAGAGCGGAAAACACAAGGGTTTCGCGATTCCAGCGGCAAATAAGGATTCGACTCGTATGTTCATTCATGGCCGATTTTTTACCCAGAAAGGGGTTTCAGCGCTCTGCAGCGGATAAGATCTAGGGCAAGAAACTGGCTTCGGTGCCAGAACCTCGATGCAGCGATGTCCCTATCTATCAATGCAGCACCGGACTGTGAAGATGTTGTGAGGATGTGGTCCGTTTCGGAACCAAGGCGGAAGAAGATCCCGGGGCCTCTCGCTACGAAGAGAGATCGAGGTGGGATCGCAGTTGGTGTCGTCGGTCTTGAGGAGGATTTCGTATACGACGACGTCGTTTTCGAGGTGAAAATTTCGACGGGAGTGGGGAAGTAAGTAAGTCTAGCGGAGAAGACGAGGAGTACGTGCTGATGCTCAAGTCCGGGTACTTGGTTGCTGAAGATGAGGAGGAGGAAGATTGAGACTGAGACTCGATCCGCGCTAGCAGCGCGGATGGTTTTCACGGGGCTTCGTTCTTCACTCAGCCCACATCTTCGAGATTTGTCTCGTATTCAATAACGCGTGTACTGTGTTCTAACCAATACACTTTATCGGCTCGCAAGAGTCCACTGATATGGCTGCCTCTATTGCTAGAACCTGCTCATACATAAGCAGCTGGTCGTCCTCAGGAATCTGCTGGGGCTCAATCTCGAGCAATTCCTTCTCGACGTATATACCTCTCACATGAGCACTATTAGCCAGCCGTCGATTGCACCTCTTGAACGCTCTTATGAACGCCTCCTCGTCGCAGCTGTAGTGGCGAGAGTGGGTGGTCCAGTGGCTCCTAGCGGCTCCAGCAGTCAGCTTTTTCGAGAAGAGCGATCCCCCCGGGGCGGGGTAACCGGCAGCCTCCGAAGCGGGATGAGAGAGTCCGAAGCCTATGAGACGAAAATCATGCACCTGCGCCTCCTGGGCTGCGGTGACAGCAGGGATGGGTTCCCTCAACCTCTTTAAAAGAGGTAAAAATTTTACCCATATGACAGAGTGGATTTGCACGCAGTCCCTCCAGCAAGCGATTCCATAGACACTGTCGCACGCCTGAAAGGCGGCAACAGCTCCACGAGCTGCTCGATAGTATCCCACTTGACGCCACTTCTAGATTTCAATCTGAACCAAAAAGCAGCGTATGACGGCACGTATCGTGGAAGCTCTGTACTTTTTGTATCCTTTGGAGGATAATATTGGATTCACGCCATCCCTTCGCCGTCCCTGACATTCAAATTGAATCATTCAATTTGGCTCCCTTGAAGTGAATAGCCAATCTACTCGCCGCGACCACAATTCCATTCGTCGTTTTGGCAGTTTCCAGAAATTCTGGGATCAATACGAAAACCGCAATATGAGGTTCAATTCAACCGCACAGGTGTAGAATCCGCTACGAGAATAGTATAACTCAAACTTCTCGAGAATATTCAGTAACGATGTTACATCGTCGATGTATAACACCATCATGGTGTGATGGTGATGAAGATGGTGACAGCCACAAACACACTCCATTGACATGGTGTCACCATGTCAATGGAGTGTGTTTGTGTAGCATATTATCATAGTTCACAGTATCATAGTTCATTGTCCGTATTATACGGACCGTATATCACTGCCCATATATTACCAACTCCTCATACATCATTTTCCACATTGCAAACGCGATCAGTATAAATTGAGCAACACCAATAGAGTTATAACACTTGAGCGTCGAAGTCTTCAACATGAGATAGATGCTCTAGGTAAATAGAGCTTGTGCAACCTAAGACGCCAGTTGAATACAAAAATCTGAAATTCATTACACCAGCGCGTGAGACTCACGCCGTGAGTTCGCATATACCATGGAGCACGTCATGCTCATGCATTACTGTACCACTAATAGGCGAAGATCTCAGAACCCGACTCATCGAGCCAATCTCCTATCTCGCGTAAAACTGCTCTGACAATATTTTTGCTTGCGTTATACGCATCAGCCTGTGGAATCCACATTGCGGATTCGAACATTTCAAGACCAATCTCTGGTCACAGGATTTCGGTTTCAACCATACTTGAGAAGGCACCCGTTAGCGTAGAGTTCCATGCGTACACGGATAATCAGCCAACTTCCACGGCTCGCTTGAATTTAGCTTTTTGCAGCCCTACTCAGTAGGCAGGTCGCAGCTGCCGCAGCTGAGCTGCTGAGCTGAGCTTGTTATGGGACGCAGCTGAGCTGCGTGATTGCGTAAAAGGTCTGGGCGAGCTTGTTATGGGATTCCGCGCACATCAATGTGCTTGCGTGCTTCCTGAGATCTATAGCTATTGAGTCAATAGTATTGACGATGGTACTTCGCCCAGAAAGGCACGTTACCCTTTCGTCTCCTATTGAGCCACTCCCCTAAGTCTCCGTAGCTCAGCTACCTCTACAAGCTCATCAGTACTTGTGTTACTAAGTCCGTGGGATTTACTGTCGTCAGTATTGATGAACCAATCTCGTAAGAAATAAGTGGAATCTAATCTTATAACATCTCTTATATCATCAACGACTATCGCAGCTTGTGCTATGTTATAGCAGCTATGTTTTAGCAAAAGATATGAATGGAGGTGAAATAACACAAAATGAGGATGCGAAACTAGAATATCTTAGCCGACATCACCACATTTACTATCACATCACACCCTTCCGCTACATCTACTCGAACCCGTTACACACTCTCTCAGGTGCCGCCACCCCTGGCGCGGGATAATGTCATCATGGCATATGTTGAAGCTTTGGGCAAAGTGGGTGCCCAACATCCAGTGAATGATTCAAGATGTCTGCAGCCCGACACGCTTAACCCGACGGTGATGGATAGTAATTTGGTACATGCTCATTTTGAATTGGTGTGTAATCGTTAACACAATCCACTCGACTCGAGGGATGAATAACTTATTTTACGTTAGTTATAGTATTACAGGATATATGAATATCTAGCCCAGCTTAGCTTGAGGACAGCTGTACCACAGTGTTCACTTGCTACTATCTTCACTCTTCTAGCCGATCTTCCGTGTTTGTCGACTTTAAATCGACAACGAAGAGAGTCTCTTCGGGTGAATACTCAATTTGCCTTCAGCTTCTATTCTCGCCAAGCTGGCCGTCTCGTCTCGTGGATCTGTGCGTCAGAGACTGTGACGGCGTCACAGTGACGCCACCATGCCTCACGCGTCACGCTGCTCACAATATTGGCAGGGTGTCAATCTGCCTCCTGAACGAACATTCTCGAGCGTTCTTGCGCTGTTATGCTTGAGCTATCCTCACGTTGGCAGTTTCTCCATCGTGCCGTAATAATAATGAGAACATCGTGGTTCATTATCACTGAACCGTGATTCAGTTTCATTTGAAGTGAGATAATATCATATGTCATATCAGAGCACGGTTTGCGACTTCTTCGACCCCACCTTAGACGAAGACTTGTGGGAGAATTTTACCCTTCCTTCTCTTAAAACAGCATCCTTTCTGACGCTGATCGGTTTCATCGTCTCTTGCAGTCTCTGCATCGCCCATTTTCTCACACAGCGAGAACGGGGAATGCATAAAGGGACATCCAAGGGCTTCCAAAAGGTATCGAATGTTGAGAATGGGGGAGCCGCTGCTGATGACGAGTATGACGGGGACAGAGAGGAGCCGCAGGGCAAGAAGCCACGGTACCCGGCGGTAGACTTCTTCAGAGGAAATTGCATCCTATATGTGCTCATATTCCACTTGCTTTGGCTATTTGGAGATTCTGGCATGCTGCCTCGTTTCCCACTCCGCAGAACCCCGACTATACCTTTAAGTAACTACCTATACTTTGGTATGATCTACCTTATGTCGAATACTTGGATTCATCTTTCGTCGACTTGCCACCCGTATATCTCATATTTCACGTAAGACCGTCTGCCGAAGTATGGCGCCGTACTATCAGTTCCTCAGGTACTCAGTCGTTACTATTCTCTGCATTTACATGCTATGTTGGGAATCAGAAATATCCGGTGTGTGCCAAATAATGCTCTGCGTCGGACTATCCCTGGCGATAGTCCACGAGGATCGAATAAAATGGAGAAACCTCATCATTAGAACACTCAAGCTGGGAGTAGCAGCAGGGACTATAAGCGCCCTAACGTGATAACGCTTACGAGCATCATTTGATTGTTCTTGTCATTACTTGTGATAGGTATATCTTTATGCCCAGATCCCCTATATACTTCGGTGCCATCCACTGCATAACGCTCAATACCCTTCTCACAATGATCTTCATCAGAGTAAGTTGAGCCTCCCCCTAAGATGATACTGCCTCTTCTGCTCGACGGATCTTCCATCATATTCCCATCATCATCGTATCCTCTTCTTCGTCTTCTACTCAGGTCCCCCGTATTGCCTTAGTCGGATTCGTTTCCATCCAGTTTTTCACGATGATGGGCGGCGTGTTCCCCCTCGAGATCCCCACTAACCGTCCACAGTTGATGTCATCCCATGGTACGCCAATCAATGTCCTTTGCCTATTAGTCTACAGTTCAACAGTAGAGAAGGCCCCTTGATAAATGGCTCCTCTGGTCGAACAATGCTCACAACACCTCACCAGAGTCGAGGGAAAGGTTTTCGTCGTTGTAGGTTCCACAACCTCGGATACTGCTTACTCGGTGTCTGGCTCCATAGCGTCGGTGCTCATAAGATTTCGGCGATCGAGTTGATACCGGGCAGGTCAGTGCACTTCGAGGACACAGTCTTCACGTTTTTCGGACGACATGTAAGTTATCCTTGCTGTTGTTCCCCCCATGGATACCTGAGTCCTTTAGTCATGATGTACGTCCGTGTTTTCTCAGTCCCTGACGGTTTACCTTGCGCACATGTTACCCGTTCTGTTCATACTCGGAGTTTTCGTCTACTCGAGATACTGACAACCCTCCATCGCATCATGATCCGGGATCCACAGATGAGCTAATATTCTCCCTTCGGGGATTCTTACTCCCAACTGTTCGTTGTGTTCGCTAGTTAGAGGTAGGGGACCTACTTCTAGGATACCTTACACCAGGACGTTTTGCCGGACCGTCTCTATCCTGTCCCTGCTGTGTCTGTGGCGTACAGCTCGCAGTATCTTTGAGCTGTGACGCTAGTTGGTTCGTGAGTATTTCATAGAATTATTAGAACTCCTATATTGGTTACCTCGACTCTATTTGGTTTAGTGTTAACTTAATCTAGTGGGTTTGGCTGCCAACTTTGCCATAACGTCTCTGAGTTTAGGATAGAAACTTTTTACTCCTAACGTAAGGACTCCTTGAATAAGGTGAGGCTATTTCACGAGGGTTTCCCCACTTCGCGTTAGGATCCTAAACTCAAAGACGCCCTCATGTGATGATGAGGACATCCTAACAGGCTCAGAGATTAAGTACAAGTGGAATAAAATACCTGGAAGTGATTGAACCTGGCCCAGGTTACCTGGGCCAACAGGATGTAATTAGCAGTAGCTAACGATTCCATCATCCGCCATCTCAACTTCGAACAAACTTTCGTGTTGATCCGGAAAGTACAAAAAAGGGGTGGTTCGAGCGGGCAGGGGGCGCCGAGGCAGAACTCACTACAAACAAACGACTTCGACATGAACTTTGACCTCCGTGAAACCTCTACCTACGGGATCGGGAGTCGAGCACCGTCCGCGACTAATCTGAAGGCGACCACGATAGCTCGGAACTCGCGGAAACGCTCCCCGCTGCCTCGTGAAAGTTCAAGCCTATAGATCTCGCGTTTGGCTGCGCACCGCAGGTACACAAGCCTAGACGCGTAGCGGATAGCCCAGGCAGAGTTTAAAACCCATATGATAGGTGTAGACTCACTGCTCACCCGTAGTCTCGGTTCGTGGATCGGGTGAGGTTTCGAGTCGAGTGACGGTAGACTAATAGACGAGAGGTGTCTAAGGTTCAGAACCGCATTCCCTTCGTCGATACTCAAACCAGTATCGTGAAACACTTGCACCCCTTGACTAACAGGCTAGCTGAGATTACCAGGACACAAGTATTGTCCCCGGTCGTCGCAGTTCCACCGTCGATAAAACCCTCCGGCATTGACCTCAGCGCGACCTACCATATCGACAATATCTGGACGATTTGCTTGACAAGAGGAGGATTCAATAGGGAAGCTTCACTATTTGGCAGCTTCTTGCTTTACTCAGGATTTTCCTCACTATATATAGAAGTTTACATATGAATTCGGGAAGAAGTGTACAGAAACCAACGAGGATTTTCCAAAGTTCCCTCACAATTGTCAGCAACACATGTAGTTGACCAAATACAAATCTTCCCATACTGGGCATGTGTATCGACACTCCCTCCACAGTACACAGCCGAGCGCATCACGGATAAACTGGCAGATGAAACTCCAACACAAACTCACCGCTCCCGGGTCGCCAGTCCCTTTAGGTAGGGCTGCCTTAGCCATGGTCTTGGCAGTTCTTGTATCGCTTATAGCTACGGTGCGGTCATACCCTGCAGAGGCTAATATTGAATCCTGGCCCAGGCCCCCAGGACACACACTGGACCTTCCCATTGTGGGCCTCTTCGAGTCTCGAAGTTCGAGAGTACCTGCCATCACTACGGGCCATCGTATCATACGATGTTAGCAGTAAGTCATGATGGACATACCTTCACACTAGACCGGCACTTGAGATCAGCTAGGGAGGTTGTCGGTACTACATCCCGCCTTGCTGGGTATCATGTAGATGTACCTCCAAACTGCATGCATCATCCTCAGCGTTGGCAGCCACAAACATGAGGTCACTGTCCTTAATAGTGTAGTAGTCATCCGGGCCGTCCTCGGACTCAGCCTCGCCTCCCAACATCGTCACCAGTCATGTAGGGATCCTTCTCCTTAGCCAGTCGGGCATCCTATCGAGCATTTCGCACAGTGAAAATTCCTGAGATTCCCCCCTTTCCACCACCACCTGGTGCGGCTCCACAAACAGGTTAGCAAATCGATCCGTCTCAACTTCATCGTCACAATCGTCCATATTGAACTCCTTCTCGATGCCCTCAGCGGCATCATCGTCGGTGTCTAAGACCAGCCCAGTACCCACATGGGCGCCATTTCCTTTACTACCCTCTTCCGCCCGTCCGCTCTGCTGTTGCTGAAGCTGCTCCTCCAACAGCTTCTTCCGTTGGTCCCGAGCCGACTCAGCCGCCTCGACATTGCCGCTGTTCATGGCTGCTTGATGCAACCAACGCACCGGGGTGATGGGAGATTTACTATCCATGTGGACCAGGGAGGTACTGCAGCACTATGGAATTACATTGGGGCTTATCATCGACAACCATAGGGGGGTGTAGGCCCTTGTCAGAGGAGTCATATCACTTACACGGGCTTTGAAACCTGGCACATGGCCCCAGAAGTTGCCACCGACGAGTCTACGCCGGGTAATTTACTCCGATGTTAGAGTGTTTTAACACGCGCTTAATCGACGCTCTTCCACTTCTAGTCCGTATTTTCAACTAAAAGGTTCTCATCCCCTTCGTTACAAACCATGTCCTGAGACGTGCATCAATGCCTATTTTGAAAATCATAGAGTGGCGTTCTTCCCACGCCACGGTGGCAAGCTTCGGATCCTCGAGTCTCGGCCCTCGAAAGTTGCAACGGCACCTTATCGAGGATTCTCGACAGTGTGCCGCTGGAATTTATTAACACCCGTTGAATAAGTACGATACTTAGTCCAGCCGATAGAGGGGTCTAATGACAACATTCTGGGAGTAGACACATGCGATAGAAGCATTAATGCTGATGGTACTAACTGTTGTCATCCGGGCTGGCCGCAGTCGTAGAGGCGATTCCCATGTGAAGTCTTTCCTCAAAGGTACAGAAAGCCACGAGCATGTAATATAAACCGGCCTATTTTCGTTCCCAAGCCATGATGCATTTTTGACCGTACGAACTACCCCGTCTCTCTGGGGGAAAACTGAGAGGAAGGCAATGGGAGATTCCTCAGGAAGGAAGGCTTCTGATAGTTCGAGGTCACCGTTGGTGCGCTTGAAACGAAACATTCGATCGTCGGAGAGCGGAGCGATCTCGCAGGAATCGTCAGGCGATACACAGCCTTGCTGAAGGACAATAAGCAACGAACAGGTTGTAAAGATTATGGTGAGAATAATACGAGGGAAAGCCATTGAAGGGGCGTGTTGACGATTGAGAGTAGACACTTGACGAGGAGTCTAATCAACCTTCAGCCTCTACTCTCGCCAAGCTGGCCGTCTCGTCCCGTGGATCTGTGAGTCACAGACTGTGACGCCACCGTGCATCACGCGTCACGCTGCTCACAATATTCGCCTTGTGCCACTCAGCCTCCTGAACGAACACTTTCGAACGTTCTTGCACTGTTATGATTGGACCTATTTTCGCGTTGGCAGGTTCTCCATCGTGACGTAGTAGTAATGAGAACATCGTGGTTCATTATCACTGAACCATGATTCAGTTTCATTTGAATTGAGAGAATATCATATGTCATATCAGAGGACGGATTGGGAGTTCTTCGACCCCACCTTAGACGAGGACTGGTGGGAGAATTTTACCCTTCCTTCTCTTAAAACAGCATCCTTTCTGACGCTGATCGGTTTCATCGTCTCTTGCAGTCTCTGCATCGCCCATTTTCTCACACAGCGGGAACGGGGAATGCATAAAGGAACATCCAAGGGCTTCGAAAGGGTATCGAATGTTGAGAATGGGGGTGCCGCTGCTGATGACGAGTATGACGGGGACAGAGAGGAACCGCAGGGCAAGAAGTCACGGTACCCGGCGGTAGACTTCTTCAGAGGAAATTGCATCCTATATGTGCTCATATTCCACTTGCTTTGGCTATTTGGAGATTCTGGCATGCTGCCTCGTTTCCCACTCCGCAGAACCCCAACTATACCTTTAACTAACTACCTATACTTTGGTATGATCTACCTTATGTCGAATACTTGGATTCATCTTTCGTCGACTTGCCACCCGTATATCTCATATTTCACGTAAGACCGTCTGCCGAAGTATGGCGCTGTACCATCAGTTCCTCAGCTACTCAGTCGTTACTATTCTCTGCATTTACATGCTATGTTGGGAATCAGAAATATCCGGTGTGTGCCAAATAATGCTCTGCGTCGGACTATCCCTGGCGATAGTCCACGAGGATCGAATAAAATGGAGAAACCTCATCATTAGAACACTCAAGCTGGGAGTAGCAGCAGGGACTATAAGCGCCCTAACGTGATAACGCTTACGAGCATCATTTGCTTGTTCTTGTCATTACTTGTGATAGGTATATCTTTATGCCCAGAACCCCTATATACTTCGGTGCCATCCACTGCATAACGCTCAATACCCTTCTCACAATGATCTTCATCAGAGTAAGTCGAGCCTCCCCCTAAGATGATACTGCCTCTTCTGCTCGACGGATCTTCCATCATATTCCCATCATCATCGTATCCTCTTCTTCGTCTTCTACTCAGGTCCCCCGTATTGCCTTAGTCGGATTCGTTTACATCCAGTTTTTCACGATGATGGGCGGCGTGTTCCCCCTCGAGATCCCCACTAACCGTCCCACAGTTGATGTCATCCCATGGTACGCCAATCAATGTCCTTTGCCTATTAGTCTACAGTTCAACAGTAGAGAAGGCCCCTTGATAAGAGGCTCCTCTGGTCGAACAATGCTCACAACACCTCACCAGAGTCGAGGGAAAGGTTTTCGTCGTTGTAGGTTCCACAACCTCGGATACTGCTTACTCGGTGTCTGGCTCCATAGCGTCGGTGCTCATAAGATTTCGGCGATCGAGTTGATACCGGGCAGGTCAGTGCACTTCGAGGACACAGTCTTCACGTTTTTCGGACGACATGTAAGTTATCCTTGCTGTTGTTCCCCCCATGGATACCTGAGTCCTTTAGTCATGATGTACGTCCGTGTTTTCTCAGTCCCTGACGGTTTACCTTGCGCACATGTTACCCGTTCTGTTCATACTCGGAGTTTTCGTCTACTCGAGATACTGACAACCCTCCATCGCATCACGATCTGTGGTTCATAGATGAGCTAATATTATTCCTTTAGGGATTCTAACTGAGGTAGATAAAAGTTGAAGGTCTTCCGACTGTTCGTTGTGTTCGCTAGTTCCAGGTAGGGGGCCTATCTGATAGGATACTTTATATTAGGACGTCTCTGAGTTTATGATCCCAACGCCAGGACTCCTTAGATAAGGTGAGGCTATCTCACGAGGGTTTCCCCGCCTTACGTTAAGATCCTAAACTCAAAGACGTCCTGATGTAGGGATAGGGACATCCTAACAGCTTCAGAAATTAAGTACAAGTAGAATAAAATACCTGGAAGTGATTGAACTTGGGCCAACAGGATGAAATTAGAACTAGCTAACGATTCCACCATCCAGCATCTCAACTTCGAACAAACTTTAGTGTGTGTGTGAGTTTAGAGTCCAACGCCGACAACACGGCTTAGTTAGACTCGCAAAATCCATACCCTAGCATAAGTCATCCCTCACCCGAGACTATCACTCTCGATGGCAGAAGCATATACCTCTAGTTGCGTTCCCTCATATCATGGGTTTGTCGCATTTCGTGTTGAGCCGGAAAGTACAAAAAGGAGGTGGTTCGAGCAAGCAGGGGGCGCCGAGGCAGATTCTGCCCCGAGTTCTGGGGCCTATTTCACAAGCATCCTAATGTTAGGATTTTAACCCATTAGGATGCAATTTAAGGATAAATGGCGTTCACAGGGGCCCTTTCCTTAGGTTGGGTTAGGACTTTAGGACATTAGGATCCTTACCGTTAGGATTTAGGATATTAGGATGCCTTTATCCTCGAAAACAGGCTGTTAGGACGCTCAGCTTTCACAAGCTATATTTTTAAGGAAATTTTCATCCTAATGGTAAAGTACCTCGGGGGGGTACTTTACGTGTAGTGCACTTTATTGCACGAAAGTACAATTCGAATTCCCAACACAGCCGCTACTTTGAATATGGTTTGTGTTATTGAAGAACTGTTGTGCGAGCTAAGCTATGAGGTTTCTAGTGGTAGTCTTTTTGATTGATTCTGGTGATGAATCTACAATTTCTTTTAATGTCAACCTTAGCACAGAGAATCGACGCTGCTACGGTACCGGTGGAGGAGTTACGCATTAAGGCCAAAGTGGACGATGAGTTATGGCAAGGGTTGGTGGCTACATTGACGAAGGACAATGGTGGTATAGAAACGGTGGCTGATCTTGGTTTCTGCCATCCTTGGGATATCCAGGAGGCGCTAAATGAAGTTGAATCAGCATTAGATAGGTCAAGACTTGCGGTGTTATTCGACTTATGCCGTAATGAATGTGGTCTCCCGTGTAGTTTGGTTACAACAGAGATCGAGAAAGGTGGTGGCACTAAAGATGGTCCTAAGGCTTCAGAAGGTGAGAGTCGAGTGAAGTCTAGTCAGTATATTGATGGTTTGGCGGATGGTTCGTTTTCCCTTATTACACAACAAGCATATGAGCAGTATCTTACGACATTGAGAGCCAAGTTAAACTTGGCCAAACTTGGCAAGTTTGGTGAGGTATCCGATGAGTCCATTCCAAGTCGAGAGCAACTGTCGGGGTTGAAGAGTTTGGTCGAAGCGGGAAATATCCCGTTTGTGGATCTATATATGTTTACTGGAAACCAGCGGGAAAGACTAAGGTCGATACGGCAAGCTGCGTTGAGGGTGGACGAAGATGGGAAAATTCGACGAGCTACATTGAGTCGTATTCCTACAGACTCGGAATGGGCTACAAATTTTCGTATCTATTCTATGGGGCTCATTATGTTGGGAGTAGCACAACATGCGGATATGCTCAAGTATGCGGAGGCGATCAGTCGTTTATTTAAGGTTTATGGTACAACCTATTGGCCCCAAGTATATGCGGCTGACGTGCACCTACGATCGGTGAGGCTGGTGAGATACAAGAAATCTAATAATACCTGGGGTGGTGCTTATGCCGCTAGCGTTGGGGACTCTGCGTTCTGGATGGAACGTGTTGATAGGGTGGTATTCCAGTTACAGAGAGCTAGCAAGGAGACTTCGACTACAACGCCGTCGAGAGCATCCGGGAAACGAACTAGGCCATCTAGAAGCGAGCAGGTGTGCTATGACTACCAAGGTGGCCGTTGTTCGGGCGAACCATGCCCGAATGGACGCAGACATATCTGTATTAAATGTCGAGAGGTGCATCCTTTGCCGCGAGGCAATAGGGATTGCAGGAAGATGCCGGCGGCTAGTAAGGTTACGTTGGTGACGTCGAAGGATCAGAAACTCCGGGAAGGAGCTACAGGGTCTGATCGTGGTGCACAAGGCCAGCCTCTGGTGAAGAAGTTGAGATCAGACTGACAGGAACCGGTGGTGGAATGTGCGATGGATTCGGTGACGAATGAGGCTATTCATGGAAAGGTGTCTATACTGGATGAACAGCTGAGGGTCTCATCGACTTGTCCATTGCTAGGAGGTTTGCGGAAGCCTTATTTATCTACTATCTGGCTGCCTCATGGCAGAGTCTTATTTAAGCATATTAGGGAACAGTCTGAGATTATTTTATCATCAGAAGGTGTGGTCGATGCGTTACTCAACGAGGAGGACCCCTTATTGTGTCCGCTAGTGTCAGACGCTATTGACAAGGCATTGGCGATATTACTTCGGGTAACCGAAAGTCCTACAGAAGCAGGAAGACCGTCACACCAACACTCTACCGTCAAGGGTCTTCTTCTTCAGAGGTTGGTGTCTATGTGTGGTGATTGGGATACTGAGGTGCCGAGATGGTTCATTGAGGGTGCCCCGGTTGGTCTGGCTGGTGAAATTGGGTACTGTAATATTTTTCCGTTGGATAGGAAGGTCGAATCCTGTCATGAGGACTCCGAGCAGCTGCAGAAGTTGGAATTCATTTATGGGGAGGATGATTGTTTAAACTTCAGCAATTATCCATCTACTTACGAGCACTTTGACGAAGTCATGAAGGTACTGGAGACCGAAGAAGAATGTGGTTTTTGCAAGATGTGTACATCGTTTGATGAGGTGAAGACGTTGGTACACAGTGATAGCATTGTGCTCACTCCTTTAGCAGCCATTCCCAAATCAAATGGGAAGCTGAGATTGGTTTCTGATTGTAAGGTTAACAATTTGAATGATTATTGCTTCGTAAAGGAGCATATAGAGCTCCCTAGAGTTTTCGATTGGATTGATGATATAGTGGAATTGTCGAAGTTCGCTCATGAAAATAGAGAGGTTGTTGAAGTAGGTGTGATAGACTTTGCAGATGCATTCCGCTCCATTCCTCTACGGATGGATGAGAGGAGGTATCATGTGTTGAAGGTCGGTGATTATTTCGTAGTTTTCTTCTGTCTGTTTTATGGTTTGCGTAGTTCTCCCTTACTGTGGGGAAGAACGGCAGCATTATTGAGTAGATTAGCTCAATTACTTTTTGTTTCATTCACGGCTGTTCCTATTGGTCGGATTGAAACCTTTGTTGACGATCCAGCGGTGTCTGCTAGGGGTCCAACCATACAAGTAGCTCGAAGACGGCTCTGCTTGCCGATTTTGTTGTGGTTAGCGCTTGGCTTTAAATTAAGTTTTCCCAAAAGACAGGTGTCGTTTCCTGTCCGTTGGATAGGCTTCCAAGTATCGAGGTGCGAGACGGGTATGTTGGTAACGTTGCCCCTCGAGAAGATCAAAAGAATTCCGGAGATGGTTAAGCCCCTATTGGTTGAGAAGGCTCGCATATCGACAACTAGTCTGAGAAGTTTATGTGGTCGGTTATCGTTTGCAGCACAAATTGTACCTTATCTCCGAGCATTTGTTGCTCCGTTGTGGTCGAGGCTAGCCGAGGCGGATGCATCACATCAATGCTGGATCACTATTGGCAAGTTGGGGACCTCGTTGAGATGGATCTGGTGCTTCCTGAGCAAGGTGACTGCCAAAGATGCGACGACGGGCGACAATACGACGGATAATTATTTGCGATACTTTCCCATTGATAAGTGGCAACGGGTTAGGTGGTCGCTAGTGGTCGATGCAAGCCCAACTGGTTTGGGAGGTTTCCTCAAAAAGGGAGACGAGATTATATCATGGTTCTCCGACTCTCCGACTGACTATGATTGCTGCAAGTTCAACGCTATCATAGGTGACTGTCGGTGGCAGTCGGTATGGGAACTTCTATCCGTTTTGGTAGCTATTCGGATGTGGTCGAGTCGGATTCCTGCCAGTGCGAAGATTATATGTCAGTCTGACTCTGTTGCGGCACTGTCAGCAGCTTCGCGGTTGCGGTCGAGGTCCCCAAACTTGAACTGTATCGCTCAGGAGCTGGCTTTACACTGTGCGGTTACGGGTAAATGGTACCAGATCGAGTTTGTTCATCTGCCGGGTGATGATAACCAGATAGCAGATAGTCTCTCAAGGTTATCGGAGGGTAAGTCGGTGCCCTCCTGCTTGATAGGGGTCTCACGGACGATGTGTGAGAAACGAGATGATTCGTTTTGGTTGGTCTCCTAATGATTCGCTCTCCTTGTTGAAATGGAGAGTTGAGTTGATAATATAGAGTTTCATGTTGAGATGTCACTCGGGGGTAGTGAGTGTAGATTCGGGCCTTCTCCCATTTGGGGGAGGCAGAGCTGGTGTGTCCGGCCATAACGGTCGGAAGAAGCGAAACGCCGAGCGTAGACGCCGAAGGGATCTCCAAAGGAAGGTTCACAAGAAGGTTCAGAGAGTTGTCGCCTCCGCCTTGCCGTGGCCTCGGTTGATCGCCATGTTATCTGTCAAGGAGCCCTTGACCAACGACGAACTGGCTGCTGATGGGCTACCGACAAAAATGCCGATTCCCGACTCTTGGCTACCCCCGGTTCCACGGCCTGGCGATATTGGAACGTTATGGCCCCCGAGTGGAGTCACTACAGACGATATGGTCGACGATGATATCTCTGGTGCCCTTAGATTCGCGGTCCCCGACCTCACTGATGAGGTCCCTCGTGTTATACTTCCATCTATTGACCTTTTCTGTGTATCCCAATAAAAAAAGATTTGCTAAATTATGTAATGAGTATTCTGATTTATTTTCTTCCCGTCCTGGGAAATGCGATTCCGTTGAGCATGCTATACCATTGAAGTCAGACAAGCCCTTTTCCCAGAAACCACGACCGATAGTCGAACTTCACAACAAGGGCAGACCTTCGTAGAAGGGCAGCCGAGTGAGAAGGATCAAAAGGGAGTTGTGACTCTACTTATCCTAAGTTCATGATCACACAGTGCGCATACGTGCATAGCGCGATCGATGGCGAGCGAATATAAGTGATCAGACGATAACGATTACAAGGGCGAGCGCGTAGGGCGCGATCCCTACAAAAAATCTTACAACTATTAACAAAACTCTTTACCAAGTTCGATACTTATCTGAAGCTTATAAGCTTCGAATGAAACTCTTTACAAATGCTAATCTTCGGTAGAGTCAAGCCTTTTTTTACTGCAAGACCCCTCCATATCAGAAGACGTTAAGATCCATAATGGTCCATTACTGGATCATTCATTACGCGTATCAGTTGATAATAAAAGTGGTTTTATCTGTTAAATCTGCTGAATGGTGCCTTGTGGCACTATCTTTGTCGGATTCTTATTTAGTTTATATCAAGTATAAAATGGTGGGGTGGTAGAGTTTGCGGCTGTTGTTCGACCGATCCAGGTTCGATTCGTAGCTGTATAACGTTTTACGTTGTGTTTAATTGCCGTTAGGAGTCCTAATATCCTCAGTTAGCACATCCTTACGTTAGGTAAGGACGTCTTTAAGTATAGGATCCTAACGTTAGGTAAGGAAAATCTTGTGAAATAGCCTTAGTTAGGTAAGGACGTCCTAAGGTTAAAATCCTATACGTAAAGACGTCCTAATCTAAGGACGCTTGTGAAATAGGCCCCTGATTTTTCATCGCTTCCTTGCTCAGAGCTCACGAATCTTAACCTGTACTCAAAGTGATGCATCTCGCTCAGTAACTGGGTTCATCCCTCTCATGCATCGGAGTTATGAGCTGATTTTACTCAGAATCTGCCTCTTGCATCAGGATCCGCAAATGGCACCACAGCACGCATACGTTCTATCGATTGAAGAAGCACGCATGAGCTGAAACCTGCAGCCTCCGAGTTGTGACAGGGCGCGTGTCGACTCTAGAGTGCCATTTAGGAACTGCGGAGGATGACACGCAAGGTACACTAAGGACACTCAGGTCGTAAAGCTTCTGGCGAATCCACCGAGGCTTGCTACCTGGAGTGCTCCTACGACCTACATCGGAGACCTCGGTTAAAAAATATAATACGCTTAACATACACTTCTCCAGGTTGTCAAGGCAGTCTGGCTTGTGTGACTAGCTTGGCAGCTTGAAGGACTCAGGCGCTCCCTCGTGTCCGCAGCAATTGTGCCAATCGCCGTCCCGAACCAACCAGCCTTCGTCGAAAGACAACTCTCTGGTGCGGTTTCAGCCACGGAGAAGCTATGCTTTTCATGAGCAAACAGTACAGCGCACAGACCGTCGACTGCGATGCTCCCTTTTCGCGTATGGATGCTCTATGAAGTACCTTCGGGCTGCGAAGTTCGGAAGTACTTTAAAGACGCGCCGTAAGCTTAGGAAGTGTGGCTTCCGAAACAGCCTTATCCTAATAAGCTCTCCTAACGTGCTTACCGGCGATTTTCTCAAGGTAAATCTCCTTATGTCCTTATTCCTTATTCTAACCTTCGAAGGACTACTTCGAAGTCTCGGTATCCGTTCATTGACTTTCTTCGCGGACTCTGCCTATCATTTGTGATTGCTTTCAACATACTCATACTTTGCCGAGAGGGCAGGCTACTACCTTCCGAGAGATGGGTCGACAAATCATTCGGATTACCTATACTTGAATATGTGAAGTTCATACTATACTTCATCGTGGCCTTTACTGCAAGTTATGGGGGCTTCATCATCATCTCCTAGATGGCGTATATCATGTAAGACTCGCTCATCTTGCTACTACCAATTGAGAGGCTTCAGTCTCGTTGAAACTGCTGTCGCTCGCACGAACTTCGAGTTATTGACAGAATGCTAAATGCGTGTGTTGGTGCATGTTCTCGGATACTCCTGCATTCTGTCGGCCATTATCTCCGTAGGAAGCTAGCCCCTTCCCCTAGCGTTTGTTCACCTTCCGACTGGACTACTCCACATAAGATAAATGAACATGACAGCACTGAATTGATTCAGAATGGTGGAGATACAAGTAGCATCATCACTCAGCCTTGCGCAGAGCTTCAACGACCGCTTGGGGGTCTCCTTCAGCTTCCTCGTTGACAGCCAACGACATCTTCTTCTAACTACTGCTAGTCTTATCATCGGCTCGTTTACTGGATAGAAAACTGACCACCTTGGAGTTGCCAACGACACATAAGGTCATCAAAGTCTGACCACACACCCGTCATTAAATGAGACCAACTGATGCTGTCCGCCACCTCAAGGTTCGCATCATGTTACAGCAACAGCAGACCACAAGGATAGAAGGGTAAATCCAATTAAAGAGGCTCCCATATGCAGGCTGCATAATGCAGCGTTGTCACAACGCTGAATACGGACTTGCACAACGCCGTTATGCATTTCGACTCGACACTGTACATGTTTCGGCTGCTGTCATTACCCCTCGAGTCCTCAGCACTGATATCAATCGCCGTACTGCTACCTCGTCAACCACTTGTAGAGTTCTCATAAGGGCTTTGAGTCCGTATCGAGACCCAATCCAGTGGGTGGCAGTACCTCACTGTTGTTCGGTTCGCTTTAGTACTGTGAAACTTCACTGAATGCTTGTCCGCGGTTATCAACATAGCCATGTTAAAGGGCCCTTCCCAGGAGGTTGATACTAAACTGTACACAACTCTGCTTGGGTTCATGAATATTTCCCAAAGGATAGTAAATGAAATTGAGATAAGTCATAACTATATGAATCGTGAATGTGTTACGAAGAAAGGCGTCTACTCCTGAGAGGTCCCCATTGCCGTCCTCGAGGACTTAACATACTCCAACAGCCTCAAGTGGTCTAGAGTGGGTCCCATCGGGCTCTGTGGATCTGAGCAGAGTTAGTCTATCACGAAGTAGCCGAGGTGTGGTATGACCTGCAAAGTCAGAGGCCCACCGTGCAGGGCTGTGAATACTTCGACTAATGACGGGCAGCACCGGCACGTTGATAGCAACTTTATGGTCCTTCAGATGGAGCTCGCGCTTTACTGCAAGCTGGTGTTCACATATGCGTTGGGTGTCTTCGAGGTCACTGACGAGGGACTGCGGTACAGCAGCACGTCTGAGCAACGTGGGCGTGCCGGGACCACAAGAATTAGAGTACCCAGTGGAAGCGTGAGCATTGGCAGGAGATACCGATGAAGTACTCTCGTTCACACCTAGAACCAGCACTATGGGAGGTCTCGAGAACACCTACTACTTGGAATACCACTACTGCCAGAACGGGAGGGTACATCCAGAATGGGACTCTGAAGATTTTGCCAATGGTGTGAACCCGTCTACAGTCTACCTACTGCAATGTTGATAGTAGAAGTAAGCCAAGGCATCCCCGGGACGCTGTATGATCTCGGCTTCAACACGTTGCTCGTTTCCATTCTCGTTATGCTACGAAACAGTATGAACAAACTCCAACGCAACCACTTCCAGGAGAGAAAACAGGAAAACTGTACTGCCGGTAGACCTTCCCATGAGGCAATATCATATCACTAGTAGTGATTCACTACTACTACTACTACGACTACTACTACTACCACAATGGTAATTACTACTGTTGACTTCTCTGTCCTGGTGGTGTTGGAGCCTCCAACTTGGAGGAGCCCCTGCAGGTGGAGCTGCTGTTGCATGTGCTGGTAGCACTGCTGATAATACTGTTGGTAACATTAATACATCTGCTACTACTGCCTCTTCCACCTCCCCAACAACTTACCTTCACTATACGACGATCCCTTACCTCACTCAGTCAGCAGAGTGCAGACTACATCAAGATTATTCACATTCGAGCATGGCCATTGGAGGCATAATATGCAGAGTAATTGTTGATGTCTATATTCATGTCCGCGTCTTTGTGGGGAACCACTGCCCCCAAGGAACGTTGATTGCCACCTCCCACAGTCAATGGTATACCAAATGGACCACCAACATGGTCAGCTAGGCTTTAAGACATCATTTCTATCCTCCCCCGAGGAATCGGCGATTCCGCATACGGCGACGATCAACTCACATAGTACCCTACCACCTAGGGTCCCCCATGCATGTTCCGCTGATCTGTTCCTCTACTATTATCATGAGTCCGAACCGTCTTGTTGGGAGAGAGTAACAGGAGAGAGTGTTGTCGGATACAACTACAGATGGTGGTAAAATATGTATGTGCTCATTCAAAGTTTTATTATAGAACTTCTATAGACATCTCCTTAGCTTTACGACGCCTCTTGCGATTCGATTTCACATACGAGACTCCACCCTAGGAACAGTATGGGAATATATGTTTGGTTTCCTCAACTGAGCTCGTAGGTTTCCTCACTATTTTATGAAAAATCACACGAGTTTGGGTATAAGTATACAAAAATTGTACTCAACCATGTACTCGAAGATTCATCAACCTCGCCCGCCCGACAGTTTTGATATATCACTCATCAATTCAGAAGCATGACTAAGAAAAAAAAGTATCTCTCATCCTAAACTACTTGAGTTAACTATGTCCGCTCCCAAAGAAGAGTATAATCATCCGAGAACGAAGAATGACGACGACGGCAACACCGAGTCCGATCATAGACGTTCCAGGCGACTCGCAGGAGGAGAAGCTACTCCCAGGAGTCTACCAGTGAAGAGGAGGAAACCAAGCAGCGAACACAGCTCTCCTCGAGACCATGCTATCAAGGCATCCGCCGGCGAGTCCCTCGCGGGGGATGTTGCCGGTGAACAGCAACCGCCTCAGCTTCCGTTGGTGAAGACCACTCCAAGGCATTCCCAAGGAACGGTCCCCTCTAGTGAAGAACATCTAGCAGAAGCTCACGGTCACGAGCAGTCGGTCTCCAAGCCGGTTGTATCAGACAACACAATTCCCATAGAGTCCTCTCGAAGTCCCTCGGTCAACACTTCACCAAAATCTTCGCTTAGAACCGATATCTTCGAGGGTCAACGGCTTGCACAAGATCAAATCATCAGGAACCCTTTGGATGGGCCCTTTAGAACTGGTATTCTTGGTGATCAACATTTTCCACAAGTTCACACCTGCAAGACCTCACACGACCAGCCCCACGAACGTGGCTGTGCTCTGTCTCAACAGTCTCTCGAAGCTCATGTAACGAGTCACCCTCCGAGCCAATCTCTCGGAGCAGGTATCTTCGGTGGTCAACACCCTCCGCAAGTTCGACCCTACAATACCCCTCACGATCAGCCGCAGGATCGTGGTGGTGCTCTATCTCAACAGTTTCCCGGAACACTTACAACTGCCAGCCCTCCAAATCAGCCCTTGGGGGCCGGTATCTTCGGTGGTCAACACCCTCCGCAAGTTCGACCCTACAATACTCCTCACGATCAGCCGCAGGAACGTGGTGGTGCTCTATCTCAACAGCCCTTCGGAGCTCTTGCAATTGTCAACCCTTCGAACCAACCCTTCGGAGCCGGTATCTTCGGTGGTCAACCTCCCCAACAAGTTCAAACCTACAAGTCCTCTCACGACCAGCCGAACGAAAGTGGCTGTGTCGCGCCTCTACAGTATTCCGGAGCCCTTACAACTGCCAACCCTCCAAATCAGCCCTTTGGAAGTGGTATAGTCGGAGGTCAACAGTCAACTCTTCCAAGTCCTACCTTCGGAGTCGGTGGTTACAGTAATCAACATTCATTACAAGCCGGCATTGCAGCTGCTCCCTACCACTACAGTCCTGGTATCACTGGTGTTGAAGGGATCCCAGCCCCGCAGGCGTTGGGAGCCACTCGTTTCCCATACAGTACTCCTGGCCTTGGCAACTACGGCTCGCAAGGTGGCCCACAAGGCACATGGCTCTACCAGCTTCCGGGGTATCAATTCGGATCTCCTTCCGGTTATCCTCCTGGAATCCAACCCGCCGGCGCTAGCAATGTGGCTCAACATCCACAGTCTGTGTTGGCGGGGCTACACTCAGTACCGATGCATTACAGCCCCATCAGTGGCTCTCCCAACCAGTTTGGTAACTACCAGCAAAATGTCGGTGGTTTTCCGGATATGCTATCTACAGCAGAAATGGAGGCTATTGATAAGAGAGTTCCCTTCCTCTGTGAAACCTGGCGTAAACGAGGAGGCAAGGTCTTCACTGGGTTTGACGCTCAAATCAGCTTGGCCGCCCATCTTCAACAGTGGTACGAGTTCTGTGCTATCCAGTGGGTCCACGAGTTGGAGCCCTTAGCGGTTCGGGTATTCCTCTCCGAGACTATCAGCCCGACTCTTGCACTCGCTATCAAACAGCAGAACTGTGGACCGGTGTATATGAACTCCCGAGACTACTACCGGCGATTGTTCATGAACGCCATCAACTACCTGCGGGCCAATTACAGTCAGGTGTCTCACATTACCGCTCTGATCCAGAAACTGTTATCTGCTCAGCAAGGTTCGCAGGGTCTCAACCAGCACCTTGACCAGCTCACTGAGTACCTAAAGGAACTTCGGCACTCAGGGTCGGCAAATATTCACACGACCCATGTCTCTCAAGCAGTGCAAAGATCGTTTGTGAATCCATACAGAGATTGGTACTACGAAGAGGTCCGCCGCAAGGATCCCTTCGGAAATATTAACCGGTACGAGGATATCTTCGACATCTTCAATGCCATGCGGTACAAGTCTTACTCTCTGGAAGGACCTCCGACATCTCACGGAGACCCTATGTACTACACCAATACCCCTTCAACGGGTGAGGTGCCGCTTCTTCCAAGTCAAGCTCCCAGTTCTACTAAAAGAGCTATCAATGGTGGTACCGACAAGCCTACATTTTGCCGAAGATGCTCAGCACCAGACCACCCAACAAAAGAATGTCGAGCTCCCAAGCCCAAGAATGCAGAGCACCGATGTCACTGTGGCTCCAGCAAACATCGACCAAATATGTGTCCCATTCCCATGAAGGACATTCATTGTGAAAGGTGTGGTGATGATTCTCGAGTTCCTAAGCATCGCTCGGGAATGTGCCCAATCGGCTATGATGAGCTCCTCAAGAAGAAGACTACTGCTGAAACTCAGGTTAAAACTACTCCAGATACCACAAACTACATGGGCATGGAGACTTGCTTTGTGACCTTGGATTCACCGATCTCTCCCGAGGTCTACTATGGTACCGAAGGAGTGGTTCTTAACTGCAATGGTTGCAACTATATTGAAGAGGCCTGTGGTGAGCCCCAAACATTGAGAGAGGTCGGAACCGCCCCCGTGAAGGACCCTAATCGCACAGCCCAAGATCAATGCTACACCACTAGGCAGAGTCGCCATGGGAGTCCAAGCGAGGACGATCAGTATTGTGAACGTGGAAGCCAGCCTGTTTCGACGGCCATCTGCATCGCTCCTAACAACCACTTGATCAAAGTCATACTTGATAGCGGTGCGGGCAAGAACTATGGTCGACTCAGCTTTGTTCAAGGTCTTGCTTTCATCGAAGGGGTCCAACTGTTATGGGAAGAGGCTTCTTCTACTGAAACGGCTGCCCAAAGTGCTAATGGGGGTCTCTTGGAGGTCCAGCACGTAGCTTACCTAAGCTGCTGGCCCCCGCGGAGACCACAAGGCAAAGCTTGGCTGAAAATATATTGCGTGACGAATCTTACACCTAATCTACTGTTAGGAGTGTCGGGCTTAAGAGCTCTTCGTATATCGATGAGGTTCAGTCCAACGGGTATCACTGCAATGTCAGGAACGGCGGATGACCAGCATGCAGATCGCATCGAAGAACTCCCAGCAAAAAGGCTACATTGTGCTAATAACTATGTCGGTGAAGAGTTTTGCCTGTTCGACTCGGTCAACTACCTGGCCCTGCTGATAGATGACGCAGAACACCCCTCAAATGGTTCACTATCAGCTATTTCCTTGGATGACGACTATACCTTCGACATGTGGAGGCCCGTTGACATTAATAACGTGGCCGAGCTGCGACTACCCCCTAGAGGAGCATCGCTCGTCGAGGCTCTACGGCATAGGAACTGCACTTTCAGGGGCTTCCTGAAGGAACGGTGTAAGGAAGGGCATACGGTCTATAGGTTCCTCCACGACTTTGTATGGCATCCTCACCGTCCTCTGCCCAATGCCCACAACTTGAGAGAGGCCAAATCTCGAGCTGTGAATCTCAAGAGGTCGCTGTCAGCGACTCGCTGAAGCGCAGAGGGTATGACTATGACTATGAGAAGGTCTTCGAGGAGTATCTGAGCCAGGGTCATATAACTGAGATCTCAGCAACGGAAGCTTCAAACCACTACTTCACCCCCCACTTTCCGGTATACAAGACTTCTCCGCAAATTGGAGAGGGTTCTGGGTCATCGAGGAAGACTCGAGTACGACCTGTCTACGACTGGAGAGCATCTAACTCCCTCCAGTGCGAACCACCCATACTGGATAAACGACTTTGGCCGGCCCTGTTGATCACCCGCTGCTACAAGTTCGTTACCTGGGCGGATCTGAAGCAAGCGTACCTATTCTGCAGAATGCCCGAGAGGACGCGAAAAGTTCACAGCTTTGTGGTGGCCTATGACGACCCGGAGAGGGTGAAGGAAGAGGGCTGTGTATTCCGCTTCTACAAGTTCAATGGTCTCCCGATGGGTCCTTCGAGCAGTCCAAGCGCAATGCAGGTGTCATCGGGGCTAATGGTGGTCCTCAGCAACGAGAAGACACAGAACCGTCTCCAAGGAGTCTCCAGAGCATTCCCCTCACGGACACGGGCACCGCTACAGGATGCTGTAGAGTCTCTATCGGTTGAAGATGAAGAAGTCTATGGTCTGGAGGCGCCACGTTCGAGCAAGGCTGCGCTACGCTATGCTGAAATTCTTGAAGAAACAAAAGTGACCGTCTTACCGCGACCTTCAACCGACAACATTATCGTGGATGCTATTAATGATCGCCGAAGCCACTCAGCAACCATGTTCAAAGAGGGTATGGACAGAGCTAAGTTCATGGACGACTGGGTGCTCGGTGCTGAGACGGCAAATCAGATCCGAGCTATGTATGAAGAAGACTTGGAGACTACTACTACTTTTGGTCACATCATTCACCCCTCGAAGACCAAACACAATACTGACAGCTCTTGTGCTGAAGGGTTAGGTATCATTTGGGAAGGTTCTAACGACACTATCAAGGCTAAAAGTGTGGACGTTGACAGTCTACGAGACCATGTAACTAGAAACGGCCAGATTACTGTCAGAGAGACCTTGAGCTATCTCCACACAGCACATGATCCTTTTGGGATTCATGGTTGGATCACTCATGGAGTTAAAGTGATTTTGAGGCAGGCCTTCGTCTCCAACAAGCAGATGGACGACCACTTGAGCGTGGAGGACAGCCGTAGGGTCTATGAGTTGTTGGATACTTACAACAGCAACATCAGCTCAAGGCTCACACCTCGCTTCATCGATACCAGGCGGCACCTGACTGTGTACACCGATGCCTCGGCTATCGGCCTAGCTGTCTTTATAACCAGCTCATCGGTTACCCAACCGCTACTCTGCTGTGATCGATTGGTACCGCTTCATCAGTGCCGATTCTCTATTGTCCGAAAGGAGCATTTGGCATTGGAACTAGGTCTCCAACTGACGGCGGCACTGCTACCAGATCTGCCCTTCAGCGAGTCACGCATTGTTCACGTATGTGTAGACTCACTAATCGTGGTTCAACGGATCCAGCGCGCCCTGAAGATTCTCTCATCGACGGAAGAGGTAAGGCCGAGGGTGCCCAAGACATGGTCTAGGTGGGAGTATCTCCACTCTCTATCGGCGGCGCGGTGGCTCCGCGCAATTGCAGCGGCACTTGGTGACGACCCACACACGGATAACTTCCAGAAGGTCAAGTTGGTACACTGTCCGTCGGCAAATAACCTTGCTGACCCGTACACGCGAGGTTATGATCCTCAAGAGCTCGACTCTGAGACTGCGCAAAGATGGCTTACTACGTTGACTGAGGGGGGTTCGACCTTCCCGGAAGGAGCTGATCCCACCCGGGACGTCTTCACCATCACTGAATCAAGCGAGGAGGCGAGTTCCCTAGATTTGGCGGAGAGTATCTATAGTTGGATTGTGGCTAAGCAGCAAGACGACCCGCTCTGCCGGTTCATCCGCTACCTCAAAAATGACATCGAGGAGGCGCCTGAGGAGATCGACATTGAGAATTTCAACGCCGCCGACCGATGCAAGATCAAGGCTTTGTACTGCATCAACACGGAGGAAAACCAACCGGTAGTGAGGCTACAAATTGGTCGTGACGCCGAGTCCAACAATGAGGGATTATTACTTGTCCCTCCTGGGGCCCGCCAGAAGGTCCTCATCAGCTTCCACTGTTACTCGTGTCACCGGAACTCCAAATTCCAGTATGCGAAGATGGCCGAGTTCTATTATTGGAAGGGGATTCGACGGGACGTTCGAGCCTTCTGCAGATCGTGTCCAGCCTGCCAGCAAGCCAAGGGCCATGGGTCATCGGTGGATGAGGAGGTCCTATTGAATAGTAGGGTCTACCTTGACGCCAATACTGTCTTGTCTATCGACTGGATTGGTCCCGTAAATGAAACTAACATCCGAGTAGATCTGCCAACGGAGCCTAAGCTGGAGCCTACGAGCCATAGCTTTGTCCCTGTTAGATCCCGTATTAATTAATCACTACCATTGTCTGTGTCGTCCCGTTCGGGCGAGCGAGTTATAGATGAAACGCATGACAATGGAGTGATATTGCTAGAAAAGGTTTGTGTAAGCCCACCAAGGCCCTACACTTGCGTTACAAGGAGTGGTTAATCCTATATGGTGACAGCTGTTGACATCGAGAACGCTGAGACCTACGCTGAGCTTACGAGGCTACGTGGTACCTGTAGAGCTTGCCGCACAAAGAAACTCAAAGAACTGCGTGCTATACGAGCCGATATCTGTTCGGTCTCAATTGATACGAACGAGGACGAACAAGCAGAACTGTTCGAAAGGGAAGCTATCTTGGAGGCTGAAATTAGCTCGATGGCTCGTCTGGCAGATCTATGCTCCACCCGTATTGATTCCTTGGCTACTGAGAGTTGCACAGCGACATCTAGCTCAACTGCGCTAGCGGTGACTGAGAGCAGCTCAGCTTTGGAATCGTTGGTTGCGGTGATTACTGATGTCCTGAATAGAACATCGGCTACAGATAGAGGGTCGAAGTCATCTCAAACGAGTAAACCTTCCCTCACTGACGTGAACAAGTTCAACATCACTTCAAGGATTCTCAAGGATGAACACTTATTATCTACTCATTTCCGCCGATTGGAGGAGGTTTTCTCAGCTGTAAACTTTGGCGTCATGGAAGGGGGTAACTTCATACCACATCATCACCTGCAAGCACCATTGATAGAAAAGTTACTGGAGACCCTGAAAAAACATGATAACTTGGTGTCAGAGGTTAATTGTTTGATCGACAGCCGCGGACATGACTGGCAGCATATTCGTTCGTCCTTGCTGAGCAAGTACTGTAACAGCGTCGCGATTCGACGGGAGTTCAAGAAGCGTGTCGCGAAGCTCTCATTCAAGGGACCGGCGGACATTGATGGGTTTGTGAGTCAACTTCGAGATCTCCGCACTCTCTACATGAGTATCAACGCGGGGTCGACGGTGAAAAACCGCGACTCGGAGGGGCAGTTCGATGAAGACACTATCTTTGTAGACTCCGTTCTTAGATGCCTCCCACAAGAATTGTTACTGCAACTGATTAGAGACGTTGTAGCCTCTTCCAAATACTCATACCCCCAGCGAGCGGGAGTTGATTGGCAGCTGAGGCTGCCCTTCGATGGGCTGATCGGCGAGGCATCGTTGATATCATGCTTGATAGAACTCTGCTATTCCCACGTATCTGTCGCGGAGATTCGGAAGCCTCGACAAGATCAGGGATCGGTGGGTCCCAGCAGGGATATCCGTGATAGAATGCAAGTTGTGGGAGAGGCGTCTAACAGCTTAGAGGGCAAGCGGGGGCCGAGTCCTTACAGAGATGCTATTAGTTGGGCCAAAGGTTTCCCTGTCGTTCTTATGGTGATGGGGCGTGCAGTGGATAGAGCAGACCGCAATAGCTCAGGTTTTTCTGACGCGGAAGACGTTCGCTTCTTGATGTCTAGAGGAGGACGTCGATACGGTTTACTAGCGTTTACTGATGAGAGAAAGGCCATGTCTACGGTACAAGAACATTTTGGCGACAAGAATGATTTCGGCGTCGTGAAGAAATTCGACGTCGCATTCAGAAACTCAAAAAACGAGGTAGGTCGCAGCTCGCAGTAGGCGACGGCTACGACCTTAGAAGATCGCCTACATCGCTCGCAATTTCGGTCAGCAGAAGCAAGTTTGACCTCAGAGATTCGAGTACAGCGCTGCTGAAGGATGATAAATCCAGTTCAGCTTCTATTGCAGAGATTGACGATCCACGGAGATCTCCAACTGAGAAAGTTCGGGAGTCTACACCTTTTCCCGTGCAAGTTTGACAAGTGAGCAGACAAGAATGACAATGTTATCATCAAGAGTGACAATGAGAATCCAAGTTTGTCACTTTTCTATCTTGTAACAACCAACATTGACAATAAGAATCCAAGTTTGTCACAATCTAAATTTGTAGCAATCAAGATTGACAATGAGAATCCAAGTTTGTCACTTTTATATTTTGTAGCAACCAAGTTTGACAGTGAGAATTCATGTTTGACACTGGCAGAATATATTACAATCAAGAATGACAATATTCCACACGAGTTTGACAATACGCACACAAGTTTGACAATACACATCCAAGTTTGACATTGAAGAGGGTTTCTCTGTGATCAGAGCTTATATCAAGGAGAAGCTGAGTGAGACGGACCCGATAACAGATAGGCATAGAGCTGAAGAGCAACACATGTTCTTATACCCGTACCGGGAAGATATGCTGCGAGGAATGTGTGATGATGCTATGCAAAAGCTAACCACTGACAAGATAGGAGCCGTATAGGCTATCGGATACTTTGGAACAAAGGGAGTCAAGGGGTCGCTTTTTGAATTCTTTCGATGTCATCTCAAGCTTACATAGAGCTCTCGATGACTCGGGAGAGCCTCATTACTATGTAATGCGTGTGATTTTTCAAGTGGGCAATCAGTTTAAACCGTATGTCAACATATCGAGTCGAAGTGTCAAACTTGGACGTGTATTGTCAAACTTGTGTGCGTATTGTCAAACTCGTGTGGAACATTGTCATTCTTGATTGTAATATATTTTACCGGTGTTAAACATGAATTCTCATTGTCAATCTTGGTTGCTACAAAATAGAAAAGTGACAAACTTGGATTTTCATTGTCAATCTTGACTGTAACATATCTCGATTATGACATACTTGAATTCTCAAAGTCAAACTTGATTGTAACAGAATTGAATTGTGACATACTTGGATTCTCATTGTCACTCTTGATAGTGACATTGTCATTCTTGCCTGCTCACTAGTCAAACTTGCACGGGAAAAGGTGTAGTGTGTTCAAGAGGGGAACAGAAGCGCATCCCGTGACCATGCAAGAACCTTCTGACCAAACAGCGTCCGTGAAGGAGAGAAGGGACAAGCTTAGCTTCGTTGGATCCAATCGCACAAGGAGTGGCTGGATCTCCGAAATCGCACTTCAGTTGCGAGTGGCACAAGGTGGCGACGAAGTTCCACTACGTGCGGTGGTAGACTCGGGTGCCGGACGCTCCTATCTCATTGCAGGGGATAACCAACCTTTTGTACTGGAAAAATCCCCAACACCATATCGAGTGGAGCTGGCAGATGGCCGCGTATCAACCATTAACACACTTGTTCGACTGGACTGCAGAGTTTGGGATGTTGGGAACAAGAAATGGTTCAGGCCAATCAGATTGATGCAGGATCCTGACCTATGCGATCCGAATGGACCATCGCTGTTGCTCAGAGTACTCCGTTCTAGAGCTCCTAGTAAGCCCTATCTACTGCTGGGACGTGACGTCATACAATGTTGGGGGCTTGAATCTCGAGCTGTTGCTTCGGCCTGGATAAGTGGGAGGTTGGTGTTTTCGCGCGGCTCATCCGTGGACGTCCGTTACTCGGAGGAGAGGCTTTGCGTGGTCAGATCATACAGCTCTGGGGATGCACCTATAGATACGAGCTGTGTGAGCGGTCATGAGGAGGGCGACCTAACCAGTACGGATATTGTACCTCTTCCGAAAGTGGATGCCTCGACGACATTGAGGGTCACTTTGACTCTAGAAGATGAAAACTTGGTCCGCTCTCTTCTAGAATCAGTGGTCGTCTCTGGCTGGAAAGATATACCGGGATGCAGAGAGTATCGAACTCGCATTCGCAAGGTGCATCCAGGAGAGTGGCTGGATTGTACCTCGCAAGAATATGTTGCTGAGCTAGCACTCCCACATCCCAAGCGTCCGAAAGTGGAACCTCGGGACTTTGCCATACCTTTGTACAACAAATTGGCAGAGCCGCTGAAGCAGATCTACCGGGCAACTATACAGGAGTATGTCGAGTCGCATTGGTGGGTTCGTGTGGGAGCGGAGAATTCCACTTCCGCACTGCTATATGCCTCTGTGTTCATGACCGGTTACCAAACGGGAAAAAAGCCTCGATTGGTGTGTGATCTAAGATCTGCGAATTCGGCCCTCCCTCGTGTTCAGTCCCGTGGAGAGCATCTGTGGCTTCCATTATGTTTGCTCCGAGCAACCAGTCCCATCTGTATTGCTACTAGTGATGTGCGGAGCGCGTTCTACTCTATTCGTTTCGCCGGTTCTGATGTGATTGATCCAAGTGATCAGATAAATACCCTCCGGATGAGAACAGGAATCGGTGAGTTCGAGTGTCTTCGGGTTTGTTTTGGTATCTGCTGTGGTACGTGTTCGTTGAAGAACACCTATGGTTCGTTGATCTCGGTTTATCGCTCCTCCAAGCTAGCTCGAAAGCTAGGAGGATGGATTCAAGAGTTCGTGGATGACCTTTTCCTATCTGGGTCAATTCGGTCTGTTCTAAACAACCTTTGCAACACCCTCTATCTGCTACTACTGGTCGCTTTCTTGGTGCAGGAGAAGAAACTAGCCATAACCGCTGCTGTTACGGCAAAAGCACTGCTTCGGCAAGCTCTGGTCGATAGAGGCCTTTCTTTGCCGGTGGCCGATTCGGTATCAATGTTCAATGTGAGCATCTCCTACGAGCTTATCGGAACAGTTGACTTCATGCGGGTAGAGTGTAAGCGGGAGGCGAGAATGAGTAAAGCCCGGGAGTTTTTCCTTAGAGAACCTATCTTGGAACAGTGTCCTACCAAGAGGTTAATCTTTGGGATATCGGGTCTCGTATCGTTCGATCCGGCTAGGGCACACAGTGCATCCCGTATGATTGGGGACCTCCTTCGGAGTATCTTTGGCCGTTGTTTTCATGACATCGACTGGAGTACACCATGTGATCTCCGCTCGCTAACAACGGAAACGCAAGCTGCGTACTGTGGGATTGTACGATGGGCACGAGACATTTGCGCTCAGGGATCATCTGGCTGTGTGCATCTCTCACCTGTGCATGCCCAAAGCAGCGCTGTGGTCAAGTTAGAAGTGTCATGTGATGCCTCCTTATACGGAGGCTCGGTGGTCATCGAGGTGGTCCACTCTTCTATGGATACCAAAT